TGGAAGAAGAGTCGCAAGGAACTCGAAAGCGCCCAAGATCATGTTAGCAGGGAATCAATTGCATGCAGATCGAAATCAGTTGATTCGAATGTAGCACTAGAATCGGCTTTCTTCAGGTAGCGCCAGCAGATGATAACAAAGGCTACGATCGGCGCCAGGACGAGACATGATGGACTCTATAAAAGGGGAAAGATTAGAGTCCAAGTTATCTTAAATTAGGAATGTTTTCTCTAGGGTCAAAAATTGTGATAAGTCATGCTTAGACAGGAGTCATGCGTAGGTCCCGGGTATAAATATCAAAGCCCGACTATTGTAAAAGACACAATCAATCAAATACAAGTTACTTACTTTTTCGGCTCCAGACACCCCTTAGGAGTAGGAGTACAGTAGATCTCGGCGAGTTCTTTAGCAAGTATGGCTGTATCGATTCGGTCGACCTCCACTGCTTGTCTGTAAGTACCATTATGGCTTATACCTCTATTCGTACGGCTGCATCGATCCGGTCGACCTCCACTGCGACTCTGGTATGAGTTAGTTATCGACTCTTGTCTAGTTCAAGTATGGCTGCATCGATCCGGTCGACCTCCACTGCTCGAACTAGATCAAGGTCAAGTTATCGGCTCTATCTAAGGGTAGCGTTCCTTCGGATAGATTCATTAAGTTACCGATATTGCTTATTGCTTCCGTTGTTTATTTAATTACAGCAATATCACTTTGCCCGATTGGGATTGATCTAGATTGGCCTTATATCTTTTTTAACCCATCGTTTGTTAATCTAAACTGATCTAATCTGTACTTTAAACGATGAGTTATGTTTTATCGATTGTTCTACATCAATCTTGATCGTGCATAGCGTGCGGTTAAGGCGTGTTTGATCTTGAATAGATCTATTGGCTAGCGAAAACTGTTCCATGGCCCGTTATCACGGCATGTGTGATTCTGCCTCACACCCCACTGTTAGCACCGTGGAGTGGGATCGTTATTTGGTAGATCTGTTCCTGAGAGAACATGACCTTAACTGTGCGCTATGCCTGAATCGGCTGTTTTAGCCGATATCGAGCGCTTTCATGAACAGTTTGCATCACGAGATCGTTGAAGTAGCGATAGGTTGAAAGATGTGTTAGCCCCATGATCTTATTATTGTATTACGGCCTGCATGATTCTGCCTCATGCCCCACTGATATTAGTAATAAGTTAGGGTCATCGAGTCTATTGTTGTTTCTACGGCCTGCATGATTTTGCCTCATGCCCCACTGGTCATAGCAATAGATAAGATCTAACATGTTCATTAGATTTATCTCTATTAAATGGTTGAATGATGATGAAATGTTTCTTTTATAAAGGAGTTCGGTTACTTGCAGTCACTGGCTTAGCATGAACTAATTATGTTGATATCTTTTTGCCAGTGACCAATATTTGTCTAAAACAATGATATTCATCCAGAATGATAACTGATTCTTCTTACACAACCTCATGAGCTTTAACCGATTTATTCTTACGAATATGCTAGAATCGACTATTTAGTCGACCTCCTTTCATATCGGCTCTCAGAGCCGCACATTCGGCACTGTCTGGCAACACCAGCATGTTCTACCCTTAATTACTGATAAGCTTTCTCTCCTTGTCAATTGTAGGGTCAAATTGACTGGCACGTCTCGAGAGGAGTGCGCAGGATCGACCACCCCTGCGCTGAAGCTAGGCAGATCTCTAGCTCCATCGAGCGGACCCTTCCGGCTTGCTCGTGTGTCCTCGGCACAGGACAAAATTCCATGTCGACACCAGCTAAGCTATGCGGATCTAGGCCAAACGCTAAGGTAGGGGTCGGCCATGACCTCCCCTCAGCCATCACCGCACTCCGTGCAACTCCTCACGACCTCTCCTCGTCCAGACCTCTGGGAGGGGCAGGGAGAGATCGAGCACCGCCAAGCGTGCCAGCTCTAACAAGTGAAGGCACGCCGCACTGACCCCATAAGTACTGAGGGGCCCGGTCAAACGCAATCCCTGCGCCACGGAGTGCAGACAAGACAACACCGCCGAGCAATGACGGTCGGTACGGTGGCCCACCATCCAAATACGGCCTGACGAGATAGACGTACGACCCCACCCACCACAGGATGGGGAGCCACGACGGCGGCCTTTACTTTTGACGCCAATTAAGCCAACGAGGGCCACGACCCCGAAGCATGGGATTGTGGCCACTGGCACCACAAGTAGCAGGACGGTCAACGGCCTAGGAGCGGCTACCAACTCCGGTACGACGCCCCCGTGAGATCAGGAGGCGATGACAAAGGCCATGGCGAGACCACGTCACGGAGGACGGCTGGTGAAATACTACCATGTCCACAGTGCTGCCACGACCAGCACTGTAGTGCCACATCACACCTTGCCGCGATGTGGGCACAAGACCATGACGAGAGCCACATCCGGACATGCACCATAAGACGGAGTTACTTGCATGCCAAGTTAGCTAGGCCCCCTCCCTCAGGCTCATGACCTTTCTGTCAGGAGAACCTTCTTCTTTGTATGCGATCTGGCCCTAGACTCTATATAAGGGCAGCCAGGGCACCCTTCCCGGACAATCTCCGGACTCTAGAAGTTTTCGTTCGGGCAGCCCATCTCCTAGCTCTAGCTCTCCTACCTCTTCCACCATTCTTGCATCCCCATTGTAAGAACTTCAGAGCATTTAAGCGAGAAACACGCACTCGATCGTCTCTGAGACTGGACGTAGGGCTTCGGCCTGAACCAGTATAATTCCTTGTGTCTTTTAGATGCTACCATCATCTTCCTGGAGCAGCGCAATATTTGTATAAATTCACTAGTCGGTCTACAAAACACTGACATCCCGTGGTTACTATTCATCCATGTAACACCGACATCCCGAAGGGACATCAAGGTGACGGTTTGCCATATACCAGAGACCAATCAATGGAAAGCACAATTCAATTTTTTTTTTCTATTCTTCTCGTGTTTAATCCCTGCCACGCCTCTTTGCACTCGAGCATTTCGATTTACAAGAGATGACTTGTATGTTGAGATAGAACTTATGGTGGGGGTTTAAAATACAAGATAATATAGATATAGATATAAGTTGCATATCTTCATATATGATACATCAGAATTAATTTTTCATAATCTTAGTTTAGCCTTATCTCTCAGCAATGAAGGTGACTTTGGTCCACGTTAGTTGAATAATAAATTCACTCATTGTGTTTATTATTCATATAGGTTGCTCATATATAGTGAATAAATTAACATGCAAGCACGTACATGTAATTATGAAAGAGAGTATATATATATATATATATATATATATATATATATATATATATATATATATATATATATATATATATATCGTACAAGTATTTGACAAAAAAAACTCAGAACAGTATAATTTGAAAATTGGCAGCCGCGGATAGTCAGGGAGGAAGAATAAGCCACTGGGCCGGTCTCAACTTGTTAATATCCTGATTTTCGGCCTGTTCGGTAAGCTTAGGCCCCATTTGGCAGGGCTTCTCTAGCGGCTTCAGGAGCCGTTTGGAGCTATTTTCTACCAAACGGGGTAAAATGAAACGGCTCCACCGATGAAGCCCCTAAAAACGTGCTCTCACATAGCTTTGGTGTGGGAAGGAGCCAAAAATAGTGGCTTCTCTCGGTTTCACCTCATTCTACATGGCGTTCTCTGAGAGCATATTTTAAGTAAAACTATATGTGAAGCTGTTTTGCCAAACAATTTATCAAAACGGCTACAGCTCCACCGATAGAGCTGTTCATGGAGCTAAAGCCCAAAAAAGGCTTCATGGGTGAAGTGGAGCTGTGCCAAACGGGGCCTTAATCGGGCCCATTATATACTTGCTGGCCGTCATTTTGCGCTTGGTACCAGCCCACCAGTCCAACCAGACTGCACACCCGACTCACGCATTGATCCCCAATGGCCGCCGCCACCGGCGGCCGTCGCCGTCGCCGCTCCGGCCAGCACTAGAGCACTGGTGCTGAGATTAATGCTTGTTTCAGTGCCTGAAAGGACTGCTCATGGGCTAGTGTCCAATGAAAGATTGTGTTCTTCCGGAGGAGTTCTATCAGTGGCTTTGCAATGAGGCCAAAATTCCTTACAAATTTGCGGTAGTAACCGGCTAGCCCCAAGAAGCCCCTCAATTCTTTAACAGACACAGGAGTAGGCCAACCAGATACCGCCGATATCTTCTCTAGATCTGTAGCAACTCCATCACCAGAAATAACATGTCCCATATATTGAATACTGCGCTGGGCAAACGCACATTTGGACAGCTTCAGTTTTCACTCAAGTTCCTGAAGCAACTGAAATACTTGCTGGATGTGTATAAGATGCTCTTCATATGTCTTGCTGAAGATCAAGATATCATCGAAGACTACTAGAACATATTTGCGTACGAATGGGGCCAAAGTTGAGTTCATTGCTTCCTGGAAAGTACCTGGGGCACCAGTTAACCCGAAAGGCATGACGCGAAATTCAGATTGACTAAAACGAGTCTGGAACGCCGTTTTGTACTCTTCACCCGGCTGTAATAGAATCTGATCGAATCCTTATCGCAGGTCTAGTTTGGTAAACCAAGAAGCTTGTCCCAATTCATCAAGTAATTCATCTATCAACGGCACCGGGTATTTGCTCTTCAATGTAATAGAGTTTAACTGCCTGTAGTCTACACAAAATCGCCAGGTATTATCCTTCTTCCTCACAAGCAAGACAGGTGAAGAGAACGGGCTAGAGCTTTTCTGTATAAGACCTAAAGCAAGCATTTCATGAACTTGTTTCTCGATTTCTTCCTTAACTGCTGGAGCAAAGCGGTAGGGCCTAGAAAACACTGCACCTGCTCCCTGGACCAGAGGGATGGAATGATCAGTTGCCCGAGAAGGAGGCAGCTAGGAAGGTTGCTGAAATAGGACATCAAAATCATGCAGGAGTTGCTTAATCTCAGGTGTCCAAGTAGTGGAACTGCATCAGATGTATTTGTTGCACACAACTATATAATAGATCCCTCTAGAATAGAAGACAATAAACCATGCAGCTGAACTGTGGTACCCTCATAAGGAATCTTGAGCCATTTGTGAGCCCAGTGAACTTGCATGGGGCTATGACTCTCTAACCAGTCTAAGCCCAATATCATGTCATAAGAGGATAGCGGCAGCACCTTGATATCAGACTTGAATTGCAATCCCTGAACAGACCATACTTCAGAATGAATAAATTGAGTACAGGACAAAACCTGACCATTAGCAACTTGGACCTGAACAGGGTTAGACAGGGGTGCCAAATCTTGCATATGAGCAGCAACAGATTCACTGAAAAATGTATGAGAACTTCCCGAATCAAGTAGTATACGAATTGGGACTGAGCCGAGAAGACCATCAAAGCACATAGTGCGAGGAGCAGATACCCCAGAAACTGCAGCCACGGACAGAATCAACTGAAGCTGTGCTGGTTCAGGTTCTTCAACCACCGCGTCAGAAGGCTCGGCTGATTCTTCCAACGAGAATAATCCCAAAACTTCCTCCAATACTTGAAGCTGAACAGCTTGAGGGCACCTATGATCCCGTGACCATTTACTGCCACAGCGGAAACACAACCCCTGAGAGAGCCTGAGCGAACGCAGGGCCGCCCATCTTTCATCAGCAGATGGAGCTCGGCCGATGTCCGGAGCAGGCTTGAGTTCCACCGGCGCCACAGGTTTGTCGACGCGTGCCGGTGGTAGAGGTAGAGGCAGGGCCGTCCTAGCGAACGGCTTGGCTCCGGACGATACGTCCCACTTGCGAACCTCCGGCTTCCGCTGAGCGCTCAGGTCTTCCTGCAATTGTGCAAGGACACAAGCAGTATCCCAGTTTGGGGGGCGATGCAGAGAAACAGGTGCACGAATATGATGGTGTAAAACAATGGATCTGTAGTTCTATGATAGGCCCCTAACTGATAAATAATAGCAGAGAATTGTTCTATATACTCAGCTAGAGGATTTGGAAAAGCTGGCATAACAAGAGCTCATGGTGATCCTTCCCAAAATGATTCATGACCATTGTGGATAGAGTTTCCCAACTACACCCCTGAAGCTAAGATTCTACAGAATTGTACCAGCGCTTAGCAGCCCCAACAAAATGCAAGCGAGCGATACGCACCCATGAAGTGGACTCAACATGATAGAGGATAAAGTAGTCTAAGCAATCACCGAGCCATAGCTTGGGATGATCACCATCAAATCTAGGAAAATCAACCTTAGGAATTTTGGAATTGGAATTCCCATGATACCCTGAATTGGGAGGATCAGAACTAGACGCATGCATGGTAGAAGGTGGGACAGGGGGTTTAGGAAGTGGATGCTCACCCTTGATCGGGGAATGAATTAGGGTTGAAACAACCCTAAATCCACTCTCCCGGTACTGATTTGCAACGCCGGGCCCAACCACAGGCAGTGCAGCTGAAGGCTCAACGGACAGACGCTGAGTCGCTGCGGGAGACGTCGCGAACACACCAGACTTGTCTTCCGGGTGGGCGATGCTGGCGCGCTCCCAACCGAGTGAGATCTTCTTCACCTCGAGGCAGATGTCATCAATGGTACCCTCGATGCTCGGCCACCACTCGTCGAAAGACGTTGCCGCCTTCTCCAAAGCATAGACGCGGGCATCCTGCGCCTGCTCCATATCCTTGACCTGGCGACCCAAGCGCTTCTCCCAGTCCTCAAATCGCTGATCCCACTTGAGATCATGATCGGTGAAGCGCCTGTGGAGTTCGTCGAGGATGAGTTTGGTTTCTGGGTTCATCACGCCTAATCGGTGTTGGCGGCGGGTGAAGTGGTCGTGGGGAAGTGGATTGGGATGGTCCAGGCTGCCTACTCTCCACAAATCGCTCGAGCGTGGAAGGGAATTACAGCGACTTCAGATCCAAACAGCAGGTCACTGCGCGGATCGAAATCCAGCCGACCGGATCCGGTGCTCAAGCAATCGATGGGATGTGAGTAGTCAGTGGAATCGCCGAGGAACGGTGTCTCCGATACCAATTGTTAGCAGCAATAGAGTTGGGATAGGAGCAATTGTGGAAGAGTGGAAGAAATTAGGGATCGAGTTGGACAAACAACAAGCGGAGGGAATCGGGGTGAATCGACGAGGAGTTCTTAGGCAGAGTTCATTTGGTTCATACAAGTTTGATACCCCTCATCGCTCACTTCGGTCTACTGATATACTGGCGATTACATGGGCTACGCCCTGGACTCGTGCACACAGGCACTCACGCCCACATCTCACCGGCGACATTCTTGTTGGGCCGACGCTCACGTGCTCCTCTGTGAGGCTTGCTGGTGACTTCATCTCGTGGGCCGACCGTAGTATTTGGGCTGCTAACATCCATTTAGGAGCTGCTTAGCTTCTGAGAGCTTGTTGCCTTCACCATAGTCTCTTTCTTCATTGAGGCTGGCTGATGAATATCTGTTCAAGCCCCCAAACAATTTCAGTGGCAACCGAAGGAGGATTGTGGTTGCTAAGAGACTGGTTAACTTGAGGGCATCGTCCATGTCTTGTGAAAATCCAAGCTCACCTGTCGATGTGACATCCAATGGTGATGAATACAGTCATGACCTTGGATCTTCGGCCACCAAAAAGTCAAGGAAAGATCTGAAGCAGCTAGATGGCATATTAGCTGAAGGTTTGGAACATAGCTCAATGGTGATGGTCACTCCTTTGTCTGATTAAAACAGAAATGATCATGTGTGCACAGATCATTCTGCTACTCAAGTAGCTAAAAGCAACTGTCTTGATTATCAGGTCCAACAGGCTGGTGGGGAAGTGGATCAGCAGGCTGGCGGGAAAGTGGATGATAGCTCGGGCTTTCTACATCGTCTTCAGAATGCTAGGAGCTCACAATCCACCATAGACAGTTCTCCATTGATGAGCTGCTCAGCTTCTGTGAGCTTGTTGCCCTCACCACTGGCTGATGGCAAGCCTCTGTTTGTCAAGAGCTCACCTATGTGGCCTCAAATTGAAGCAATGGATGTGTTTAGTGCGCATCCTCAATGACCGCATTTCCTTCCACTCAGAGAATTTCCCCCAACAGTGCGTGAAGGAATGGCATTAGGTCTGATGGCTGTATTTCCCGACATAGTGAGGAATATAAGGAAAGCAAGCATAGACAACAACATGGAATGGTTCGAGGACAAGTTTAGTACACTCTGTCATCTGGAGGGACATGGATTTAGTGTCCAATCTTTGCATAGCACCCTGACCAAATTGGTCAAAATCAAATCTCAAAACACTATTTATCTTGGAGAAATGGACAAGCTGGATGTAGAGATAAAGGTGGATTCACAATCGAGAGACGGGAGGATGGCCACCAAACCCTAGCCGGCCACCGCACCCCCCCGCCCCCACCAGCAGCCGCCCTGGTGCCGGCGCCCGCCTCCCTCTCCCCCTCCTCTTCCTCCCCTCATAGGCCTAAGCCCGCTCCTCTCCACCGCTGGAGTGCACGCTGTGGCATGCCCGCCGCCGCCGCCACGGCGTTGTCTTACGCCCGGCCACTCCTCCACCGGCCGGGCCGGACGTTGTCGCTGCAGCCACCACCTTGACCCGGGCGGGTCGGATCTGGGACCCTCGTCCACTTGCTCCTCCTCACCCGCGTCTGGCCGGTGCTTGGGAGCTTGAGGCTCAGGGCGCCGCCTCCGCCGCCGGGGACCCCTTCCCTGCCGCCGGATGATGGCTCCCCTGTCTCCCCCGCCTTTGATTCTAGGCAACCCCTGCTGCGCTAGGCCGCCGCCTTGGACGCCACCGCCACCAGCAGCGGTTTCGTGGTCGTCCCCGCAGGATCCGACACGCCAGCCCATCTGCGGCCCTCCACGCCACCACCGCCGCTGAGGCCGGGCCCATCCGCTACCCCTTCCATGCCGCCGGCGACATCGGGCCCTGCAGATGTCGAGGATGCGGGCTCTCCCTAACCGGCACTCCAACAACCCTACCATAGCAGAGGGCCACGCGGGGGCAGCATTGGCTCCCTCAACGCCGGCACGCCGATGGTAGCTCGTTGCCTCGGTCGGTCGAGGATCGCCCGGCTCGCCATCTGGGGAACCCCTTTGCCCAGCCCGAGACGCGACAGATAGAGGACGAGCCACCGGTCCTTGTCGAGGACGTCTTGGATGACGAGGACAACTCGGCGCCTAGCTCACCACAGCAGCCTCCTCCAGCATCGGGGCTTGACATCTTCCTCGTCCACCCCTCCGCGCCCAGTCCGTCGTCATCTCTGTCCCCCCTCACCTCCCCCCTTCCACCCTAGGGACGGCTCAATGGGGCATTCCAAGGCTATTCGTTGGGAGGATGAGGACCTTGACGACTCCGACGCGGAGAGGTCGCCAGTCAGCTCCCCAACTTCCTACCTCGACGTAGTCCGCCAGGGGTCATAGCTCCGGCACTCGTGGCAATGTTGCTGCTGAGTGGGGCAAGCACCCCTGGCTGGGGAAGCCCGGCCAGCCACCATCGCCGGAGGCACACACAACAGTGCTACTAGTGTTGGCATTGTGCACGGGCGGCGGCGCAACAGTTGGTCTGCCACGGCGGCGCGCCCGGTGGCACGACGACCACCGCTCTCGGCCCATGGATGGCCGCGTCCCTACCCGCCAACATCTCGGACGTCGTGGATGGGGCTTCGACCACCAATGCATCTCCGCTCCAGACGACGATGGGTGGCGTGAGGTCTTGTCATAGGAGTCATCAAGCAGTGCCGGCAGGGCGCGCCCGCCACACTGCATTGGCGAACCAGCGGCCCCCTACCCGCTATCCGGTGGATCTTCACGGGAAGTGCTTCAACTGTCTCTCCACCGTGCACAAGGTGGCAACCTGCAAGCTGCCTCCACGCTACCTCCAATGCAAGAGGTTCCGACACCTCGCGCAGGACTGTAAGCGGCGGCGGACGGTGCCTCCTTCCAGATCCAACACATTTGGTGCCCCAGAAGGCTAGCAACGACGACCTGTCCGGGAGTGTATCTTGGGCAACCGGCCGCATGCTCAAGGCGACACGCCGAGCATGGCTGGAGCTATGCCGAGTGCGGCTGCAGCTGTGCTAGGTCGACTACGTGTGGCGACGGTGGGCGCAGACGGCGGAGACGTCAGAAACGTCGGCGCCGACGGAAGGGGGATGACACTGCTATGGCAATTAGTGTCACCACCGACAGTCACGGGCGGTCGACAGGGGCCGTCCAAGCGGCACCGGACTTGTCCTCGGTCGCTGCTGGAGCTCAGGCAAGGCACGGTGGGCCGACCAACGAGACGGGCATCGTTGAGCCCGACCCGTTGACGCTCACAATGTACCCGGGTGCCACGCATGATCGTGACATCTCAGAGGACCCGATGGTTGAGGAGTTCACAGCCTCGCTCGTCGGCAGTCGAATCGTCGCGTGGCCTTCCCTTGAGCGCCTCTCGTCACCTTTGGCGCCCCCTCGGCTACAGGATGAGGCCCCGGCGATGGCGCCCCCCAGCTGGAGGATGTGGACCCGGCGGTGGTCTCCTGTGAGCTGCGGACACCACCCCCGCGCCCCATTCAGTGGACAGTGAACTCGTCGAAGACACACACGGTCGACCCAACGGTGGATGTTGGCCTTCCCAGTTCACCACCGGAGGTTACCCACCAGGCTTTGGACAACGACGACTCCGCCAAACGTCGTCTCGACAGCTTCATCAACAATGTCACATGTAAGAGGGACTCTCTCCTGATTCACGAGCCTTCCAAGCAGCCTCCTGCTAAGCCGGTACTACCGTGCGGAGTAGGCGTTGGTGGCTCAGAGCCTCTCCCGAGTGCCAGCTTCCAAACGAGGTGAGGTGTTGATCATGCAGCATATGGGCTACACCAATGGTCCATCAGCACCATCCGCTTCGGAGCTGGAGGTCTTTGACAAGCTCTTCGACGGCAACCTGACTGCGTCCGAAGCCGAGGCGCTGGACAAGCTCTTCCCGGCCGTTGAAAAGGCCCCGTCCAGGCAGTTGTGAGGACGTAAGGCCACCTCCTAGGTCACAAAGTTGCGTCGATATTTGTTGTTTCCTTTTATGTAATATCGAAAGAAGAGGTCTTTTGTTAGGATGGTCCAGCTCCGGCTGTGTTAGGTCGACCTTCTTCGGCGCTCGATAAAAATGCGTTGTATGTTTGTTTGTTTAAACTTTTCTCCTTAATACAATGATACGTAAATCTTTTGCGTATTCGAGAAAAAAAAAAGATAGAGGTGGAGACAGCTTCATTAACCCGAATGTGTGAACTGCTCGATGAAAAAGATAGTTCTATAGCTGAGCTCGAGACTTGGGGCCCTTCGCCAGGAAACCCAGAAGATTGCAGCGGAGATGGAAACTAAAGGCACAAAGCTCTCGAGACTCAAGTCAAAGCATAGCAAGTTCAAGGAAGCCTATGGCGATGCGAAACTGGAGTTTCAGTATCTTGGCCAATCTCTAACTGCTTGGAAGCAGCTAACCTGATGCGTCAGTTTTTTACATCATTTCGGTGCTTGTGACATATGTTTATGCTTGGGGGTTGTAGGTCTTAGGGTCATGTAGGTATTAGGGTGAACGTCTATGATCATTCGCTACCTTTTTATGTATTTGTAAGATGCTCATGATGGCTGACTTAGGTAGCCTGATGAAATATCGACGCTTTATATACTTGCTCAGTTCTCCTATCTGCCAGACACCTGAGTTTTTGGTTTTATTCAGGCGACAGGATCGCCGTTCGATCCAGCTTGATTTCCGTGCGGCATAAAGGTTCTAATTGGGCTTGCTTCTGTTTAGGAGTTGGATCCAAG